TATAGATGTATGTATATGTACATATATATATATTTGTATGTGTATACATATGTGTGTATATATATACACATATATATGTGTATATATACATGCATGCATTTGCTGGAGAGATAGAGAGCTGGAAAGCAAGAAATCACCCCTCTGGGGTGATGACCACATCACAATCCCTTCTCCTCCAGTCTCCTCTTGGGATTTTGGGCATGCACATACATGCGGTTGGCATGTTTCAAGCTGCTGGGTCTAGGACTTGAACCACGGCTGGCCACATGGGAGTCCAGTGCCTTAACTACTACACCACCTGTCGGGCCTGAGGTTTATGTTTCTCCTGATGCTCCCGTACGCCTCTCAGATATGACAGCCATGGCTGCACGGGGGAATGTTGTTCAGGATGCCCTACAAAGTGCGTTGTAGGGGACCAGCAGTTGGCGTAATGGCTATGTCGCTGGACTCCCATGTAATCCACCACGATTCAAGTCCCTGACCCGGTGGCTTAAACTCATGCCAGGCGCGTGCGTGTGCATGCCCAAGATCCTGTGAGGACAATGGAGGAGAAGGGATTGCGGTGTGGCCATTCCCCTGGGGGAGTGATTTCTCGCTTTCTGTCTCTCTGTGTCTTTCTGGTGAGCGCATGCACCCTATAGCAAAAACCTCTAAAAACAAAAACCAAACCAAACCAAAACAAAACAAAAAAACCAAAGTGTGTTGTAGGATCCTCCACCTTTCTTAAGCTCATGAATGGCTAGCTATGGATTAGAGTTAAGTGAATGCACTTGTCAGCTTTCTCTTTTTCCTGAGACAAGTAATTCAGCCTTCCATCCAGTCTAGACCCATTTTCTCTCTGTCTCCTGATGCTCTCTGTAAGGCCTCAGTAAATATAGCTGGGCAATTCTTTGTGTGTGAAGTTAATGCTTTTATACATGTGCCTTTGGGTGTTTTTCTAGCAAGGCTGGTGTGTTTAAATTGGTTGTCAGTCTTTTGCTCTAGGGTAGCAGCAACAAGCACAATGGTAAAAATCAAGAAGAATTGCCTTTCAGTTTTTCAGTAAATGTCCTTTCTGGAGAAAAAGCAGTGTGGGTTAGGTGAGGGTGATGAACGAGCTTCCTTGGAAGCCAGGAACTTGTGCGCTGTGTAGTTGGGGGGCTGCAGCTGTTCAGACCACCGCAGCACCGTCCCAGGTGGAGGGCTGGACAGTGGGGGTGGGGGGGGGAATTCAGCCGGTTCCAGATCTGTTGGTTGGTTCACTTTCAGCTGCAACAAATTCCCTAGAAAATGACACTCAAAATGCAGAAGGGGAATTCCTCCTGAGGGGTTTCTGGGAAGAAAACAATTCTTTTCTCTTTACGAAGTCTACATCATAGTGTTTCCTCCTTCCTGTGACTCACATGTAATTGGAACAGCAGATATGAACTTGATGGCTGTTCTTCAGAAATGTTGTTTGCCGGTTACATTTATTTTCAGGTTCTGTTGAAACCACAAGACACAGTTTCAAAATATTAAGAAAAGGCATGATGTAATTTTTCTGTTAACGGTGCTTTGAAACAGAATAGAGTGGATCAGGGGTAAAGAACTATTTTAGGAATTACATTTCACACATCGTCTCTGGTCTCAGCCACTGTGGGGTGTAGATGATTAAATCCCTCAACTGGTAGAGCTAGAAGCCTGGGCCCTTGAAAAGGAATTATTGTTTTTTCTAATTACAGAAGCAGTGTGTACACATTGAAGGAAGATTTTTAGCTGCAGAGAAGACTAAGGATTAAACAAACAAAAAAAACTTCTGTGCTTTATTACCCAGAAATAATCCCTGTAAACTTTTAGGTTTAGGTTTAAGTTTAACTTTAGGTTAGTATTTAAAGGTCTTTACTGTCAGTGTTTGAATAAAGATAATAATTTTTATATGAAAACCTGTATTTTGGGGCCAGATAGCGGTGTGGCGGTGAAGGCAGCTGGATCCCACATGGCTGACGATGTGGTTCAAGTCACAGGCTTGAACATGCTGGGTGCCAGTGCGTGCATGCCCGAAATCTGGAGAGGAGAATGGAGGAGAGGGGATTGCAGTTTGTCCAGCCACCCTATGGGGTGATTTCTCACTTTCCCTCTCTGTCTCTCTTCTATCTCTCTTCCTGGCGAGCACACGTGCTCTATAGCAAATGAAAAATAAAATAAAATTAAAAGCTGTATTTTAGAAATTTAGAGAAGAATATGGTGAAGAGTAAACTCTCTACATTCAAGGACTTAACACTTCGAGATGTGAATAATTAGCAATCTGGAAGGTCCTTGACATGTAGAAACACAGTTTTGCTGACGGGCGGTGGGCAGCAGTGAGTCAGCTGGCTGGTGAGTCACGCAGCAGCTGCCCTGGGTGTGCATCTCAGTTTGGCTTTGTGTTTTTGATGGGGGAAGAGCACCTAACCAGCCATGTGTGACCGGGATTGCTTAGTGCCTCTCCATAGTCATCTCCTCCTTCTTCTGTGGTTATACATGGTCACCCAACTGAAAGAAGATTCTTGTTTCCTTTGTGGATAAATATGTGACTTAATTTTTGGGCCAGCAAGATAGTGTAGTGGTTACATTGCTGGACTCCCACATGACCGACTGCAGTTTGAGTCTTGGACCCGATGGCTTGAAACTCATGCGGGGCGTGTGTGCGTGCATGCCCAAGATCCTGGGAGGAGAAGGGATTGCGGCCTGGTCACCTTCCCCCCCTCCTCGGGGATGGTTTCTTACTTTCTCTCTCACTGTCTCTCTAACTCTCTCCCCAGTAAGCGCATGTACCCTAAGGGAAATATCTCTTTAAAAATTATGACTTAATTTTTACCAAGAAAATATAATTAGAAGTATATATAGATCCTAGAAAGTATTCTTTTTCCGTTTCTTCTGGGTGGAACTTGATTGCAGTGGCTGGAGCTCAGCACCCACCTTGGACACTAAGGGTAAGTACCTAACCTAGGGAAGATCTGTGAGCTGAAAGAACCCCGGGGCCTGACCATTTGGGGGAGCCACAATACTAGCCCTGCGATGCCTGTCACTAGATTTCCTTTAAATGAAGGAGAAATACATTTCTCTCTTGTTGAAGACAATGGCAAAATAAAGTTTTTTGTTTTTTGTTTTTTGGGTTTTTTTGGTAGTCAGTTAAACTTAATTCTAGGGCAAGGGCCAGCAGGTGGCATGGTGGTTAAGGCTCTGGACACTCCGCATGTACTACCGCAGTTCGAGCCCTGTACCTAGTGGCTCGCTTTCTCACTTTCCCTCTCTCTCTCTGTCTCTCTGTGGTCAAATTAAAATGAATGAATGAATAAATAAAGTTAAATAAATGATTCTTTAAAAAACCCTTAATCCTGTGGCTATGGGCTTATTATCATTTACCTAACGGCGGGGGTGGGGTGGGGTGGGGAAGAGTTGTTGACTCACCTGTGGGAAACTAAGAGGATGTGCTCTTACTGTGGAAGAGAGAGCCAGGAGACCTAGCCTTGGTTTATTGTCTGCTCTTGTCTGTTCTTGCCGTGTGCTCCCCTGGGGCCCAGATCCTGTGGGCCCATCTGCAAGTAGAGTTCTTTCTTTCTTTCTTAAAGAATTATTTAACTTTATTTATTTATTTTGGAGATGTTTTAGGGTGCGTGCACTCGCCAGAAAGACAGAGAGAGACAGAGAGACAGAAAGCGAGAAATCACCCCCCAGGGGGGATGGCCACGCTGCAATCCCTTCTCCTCCATTTTCCTCTCGGGATCTTGGGCACGCTCGCACACACGCCCGGTGTGAGTTTAAGCCACCGGGTCCAGGACTCGAACCGTAGGCGACTACATGGGAGTCCAGTGACATAGCCATTATGCTAACTGCTGGTCCCCAATCATTTATTTTTAACTTGACCAGAGAGAAAGAAAGAGGGAGAGAGAAGGTGAGAAAGTAAGACACCAGGTCCAGGACTCGAACCATGTTCAACCATATGGGAGTGTCCAGCGCCTTAACCACCATGCCACCTGCTGGTCCCCGTAAGCGGAGTTCTTAAAAGCTGGCCTGGCTGTTTCTCTGGGGTGGGTGGAATTAGGGTGGGCGAGAAGTCCTACCAGCATAATGAGGGAGGCCAGGGCATGGGGGTAGGGGCAGGGGTGGGAGTAGGGGGGGGGAGTAGGAGGAAAGAACAATGAGAGTGAAAACATCTTCACGGGGGCCTCCTCCGTGGAAACTGTTCTTTTTCTTTGATATATTTTTAACTTTTTTTTCTTTGGAGAGGTTTTCGCTATAGGGCGTGTGCGTTTGCCGGACAGACAGAGAGAGACATAGAGACAGAAAGCGAGAAATCACCCCCCAGGGGGGATGGCCACGCCGCAATCCCTTCTCCTCCACTCTCCTCTCAGGATCTTGGCACGCATGGACACGCGCCTGGTGTGAGTTTTAAGCCACCGGGTCCGGGACTTGAACTGCTGTCGGCTACGTGGGAGTCCAGCGACATAGCCATTACGCTAACTGCTGGTTCCCTGCTATGTATTTTTTTCATTCATGACAGTGCATGTGCCTGTGGAGAGGGGAGAGAGCAAGATAGGAGCACCTGCTAGGCTCGGTCATGCTGCCATCCCCTCCCGCAAGCTCTCCAGCGGTCAGATCCTGGGTACTCATGCACGTGCCCCACATGGCAGGGCGGGGGTTCGAACTGCAGTCCCATGTGGAATCTAGCTTTTTTTTGAGCAGTGTATTATGGCTAGCCGTACAGCAGAGCTGGCCCTGCCTTTATTGATTATTTTTAGGGCTTATTCATTTATTTCTTCCATGAGCAAGAGAGACAGAGAGAGAGAGAGAGAGAGAGAGAGAGAGCGCGTCTTCCACAGTGTCTCGCCCCTACCATTTCCTCCCAGCCTCAGCCCTGGATCCTCGCCACCACACGTGGAGGGCAGGGGAGGTCCTCGGGTGCAAACAGAACCTTCCCTTGCAGCTCAGTCTGGCCGGGCACGTTTTACTGTTGCACCACCGGCCCTTGAGGGCGCCGTTGGTAAAGCATGGCCGGGCGCGGCCAGAACTCCCCAGGATTTCTTCAGGCAGTCCATGAGGTCCAAACTACCTAATAATATATTAACTCGTTACGTGCCTTTCCTGAAAAGCGTGAGAACCGCTGTCCCAGCCTTACCCTGAAGAGCGCGTGTCTCAAACTCACTGACCGCCCTCCGCCAGCTGGGGACGGTGGTCACAGCAATGAGTTCCAGGTGAGTTACCCAGTGACCCTCTTGCAGGCTCTGTGATGTCAGGGAAGGCGACCCAAGCCTGGGGTTGGGGGTTATGAGCTGACGTGTGTCCCACCAGAGTCACACGCTGCTGTCTGAACTGCCAGTCCCTCGAGTGTGGCTGTAGTTGGAGATGGAAGTGTTTAAAGAGGCCATTTTTAAAGTACAAACGAGACCATTAGGGTGGCCCAGAGCCCAGTATGACTGGTCCTTATAAGAAAGGACATTAGGATGCAGGGTATAAGGAGGGAAGGTGACTGAAGACCCAGGGAAAAAGCCCCGAGGGAGGCTTCAGAAGACACCAACCTTGCCGGCACCTTGATCTCGGGCTTCTGGCCTCCAGTCCTGGTACTTGGCTTTGGCAGCCCTAGAAAACACAGGGGGGTTTTCTAATGCCCAGCAGCGAGCTGCCCCAGAGGGCAGTGAGGGAGCTCCTTCTAGAACCGCCTATGGCTTGTGCACTTAAACCTCCCCAGGGGCTGGGACTTCCCGTTGGAAATATTTAAGTTGTCAGTTCCCCAGAGTTTGAAAAAGTTCTGAAAGTTACATGCAGAGGACTTTGAAGGAGTCGTTTAATGTGGGAGTAAATAGGTTCCCAAGAGCCAATCTCCTCCAACTCTGGTATTTCACAGAGACAGTTAAAGTACCAACGGCTGTCCCGGGTAGGGCTGGGTGGGCCGGCGTGTTGCTCTCTAGTGAGGACAGAGGGCCGAAGCCCCCACCCTCAGTGCTTCCCCCCTGGCTGGACATTTCCAAGACCTTGCAGGCACAAAGGAGGGACTCGGGGGTGTGTCTGGGGTATGAGAGAAACCAAGAACCCTGGGTGTCCTTTGTTCTGTCTCCTTCTCTTCACAGCTACTCCAGACTGGAAGGAGTGAGCTTTTCTTTCATGTCTTATGCTTTTCTTTTCTTTTTGTACGTAAAGAGACAGAGAGAGAAAGTATCCCTCCAGGGGGACGTGGTCACACTGTAATCCCTTCTCCTCCATTTCTCCATCCTGTCGGGATTTGGGGCAGGCATGCACATGTGTCTAACTGCGCACACACATGCACCCACATGCCTCGTGTGCTTTTTAAATGGTTAGGGCTGTCTTTCTATGCAGCATTTAACTACTTTGCTTTGGGGGCTGGCCTGATGTCTCACTTTTTTTTTTTTAAAAGGAAGACGTTTTTCTATAGGGCATGTGTGCTTGCTGGAAAGACAGAGAGTTAGAAAGTGAGAAATCACCCCCCAGGGAGAATGGCCGCACTGTAATTCCTTCTCCTCCTTTCTCCTCCCAGGATCCTGGGCACGCACACACACGTGCCCAGTGTGAATTTTAGGCCACTGAATCTGGTCCACGGTCGACTACATGGGAGTCCAGTGATGTACCCATTATGCCATCTCCTGGCTCCTGTCTCTTGCTTTATAACAGGGCAGTAAACCTCATGGCTGAGTTAGGATGGTCAGCTCTCCCAGTTCGTCTGGGAGTGAGGGGTTCCATGTGGAAGCGGTGCTTGTCCTGGCTAACGAGGACCAGGTGGTCACCTAGGCCTAGAACTCCTAAACCCAGGACGTTTCATTCTGCACACGTGGGGAGGAACCCTGTGATGTGAGTCTGGTCCTATGATGTAATTCAGTGCTTTGCTAATTAAGAAATCGTTTTAGCTCAGTCGTTCTAACTAAGGGAATTACTGCTTCTGTAAGGTGCATCTGGAAGAGACCGGGAACGTTTTTATTGCAGCCATAAGCGGTGTGTGCTCCCGGTGTTAGTGGATAAGGCCACGCCCATGATGGTCCCCACAGAGAATAGTGGTCTGACTTAATATGCCAGTGGTGACCCAGAGAAAGTCTGAGCAGGGATTGCCTCACCCTGCTGTCCAAACTCAGACCTGCTGAAGAGCAAAGTTCCTGTTCTTTCTTGCTCTGGGGCCCCAGCGCTCAGTGATGCCTCCTGGGAAGTGGAAAGCGAGAAGGTATAATTCAAAGGGAAAAATTACATGCACAGGTTTAATATTTGTAAAATCACTGTCTTCTTACAAACAAAGGCTTCGGAGTCTCTGTGGTCAGTGGATAAGGACCCTGTGGTGAGAGCTAGACTTTTCAGAGAGGACAAGAATATAGGACAATCCAATGAAAAACACTAAAAAAGGAAGGGAGAGGCAGATGGAACCTTCTAGCCATGTAGGTCAAGGGTCCATGCCTCTGTGAGAAGAAACAAGAGTCCGAGTCCAGTAACTTCACTGTAACATTTACAGGTCTCTATAACTATGCAGTTCTAGTTAATGGAGAAAATCCATTTGTCATCTTCATAAAATTTTAACCTGAAGTGTTCAGGCACGATAATATAAACTTGCTTTGGACAGAGTACATTTAGCATCAACATTCTGAAGCGGGTGGGCCAGCAGGTGGTGTGGTGGTTGAGGCATGGGATCTGACATGGTTCGAGTCTCAGACCCAGTGGCTTGAAAAACATCCTGGGCGGACCAGCAGATGGTGTAATGGTTACATCGCTGGACTCCCGTGTAGTCGACTGCAGTTCAAGTTCCGGACTGGTGGCTTAAAACTCACGCCGTGCGTATATGCATGCATGCTCAAAATCCCGAGAATGGAGGAGAAGGGATTGCAGTGTGACCATTCTTTCTGGGGGTGGTTTCTCACTTTCTGTCTGTCTTTCCCTGTTTCTCTGGCAAGCGCATGTGTCCTATGGCAAAAAGTCTCTCTGAAAAAAAAAATACTAAGAGGAAAATGGAGAAGAAGGGATTACAGCGTGGCCATCCCCCTGGGGGATGATTTCTCAACTTCCCCCTCTGTGATTCTGCCTCTCTTTAGTGAGTGAATGCATCCTATGGCGAAAATCTGAAAAGGATTCTGAAGTGAGAGCCAGATGGTTCAGTGGCAGAATGTGACACTCCAGGATGAAGCTCGCAGGAACTGGGTCACATCGCCTGTGGTGGGAGCCTACTGATTTAACTTGGAAGGTGAGCATCTCTAGTCTCCTCATGGAGAGAGGTAGGGTGCTTGGAAGAGTGGGTGGATTTCCTGTCCGCCATTAGCCTCTGATCCTGGGGTGTTTCTTTCCTCACCTACCATGTTCAGGACTCCATTATGGAGCTGCGGCTGAAGAGATGCGGCGGTTCTGGTCCCTGATTCTCAGATCATTGGTGCTCCCCTGTCCTGGGGGTTTGGGGCCAAGGATTCAGATGATCGCAGCCACTTGTGTACCTCTGGCTGCATTATTTTTCTGTGGCTGTGATGTCAGAGTGATTTTCCATTCGATAGCAAAGTTACTCATTGTATGGTGTTTCTTCTGCTTGTAAAAACAGCCTTGAAAAGTGTACAGAAGAAAATGAAACCACCCTCAGATTTACCACTTTGCTACAGCATTTCTTATGAGCATATAAAGATTAATTTTGTTTGGTTTCGCCATATGAGAATTAGTAAAAATGTAAGTGAAGAAAGATTTTCTTAAGAGATGTTATTTACAGGGGCCAGCAGATGGCGTGGTGGTTAAGGTGGCTGGACCCCCACATGGCTGACCGTGGTTCAAGTTTTGGATCTAGCAGCTTGCTTTCTCACTTTTCTCCTCTCTCTCTTTCTCTCTCTGGTCAAAAGATAAAAACAGATTAAAAAAAAAAAAAAGACAATGAATAAAAATAAAATAATTCTAAAAATAAAAAGGTATTATTTACAAAAAGATCCACTTAGGCCTGGCCTCATAGCCTAGTGGTTGGGAGAACCACATCCCACATGGCCGACTGCTTGAGCAACACACCAGGGGGCTGTGGGTATGTGCCCCAAGTCCAACAGGAGGAGAAGTGGAGAAGGAATTACTGTGTGCTATCTTCCATTGAGGGTGCTTTCTCCCTCTCTGTCTCTTTCTGGCAAGTGCATCAGCCTTCTGGCAATTAAAACAAATAAAAACCAACCAACCAAACAAACAAACTCTAACATGGTGCTCTGCAAGACCGATCCATATGTGAAGAGTGCAGGTTCAAGTCTGGAGACCTCCCTGAATGTGCCAGGCATTCATGTGCCCCTGATCTGGGCCTGACCGAGGCTAGGGTGGTTTGCCGTGTCAAGACCCTGGTGGCAATCCCCATGAAAGTCTCTGTTATCTCTGTTTCACTCTAACTCATGAAAGAAAGAAAGAAAGAAAGAAAGAAACTTAAAAAATAGTTTAATACACGTTTTTATGTGACCGTTGGGCACTGCAGAATACCGCATCTTCTCTGCCTGGAAGCCCTGACTTACATTATACCTGAGCTGACTCAATGGCACAGAGAAGACAGACCTCACATGGAAACCATGGTTTGAACCTCTTGCCTGCTTAGCCTGAAACACATTGAACAAGTGTGCAAGTCCCCTTTTTTTAATCTCTGAAATTTGGATGCTTCTTACAATCAATGCCATATTATAGTTTAATCAGCTGCATTTACTATTTTTGATTGGTTTATAACACAATGATGTGTCTTATAAATGACGGAATCTTTTTAAAAATTTTTTGCTAAAGGATGCTTGTGCTCATTGTAGAGAAACAGAGAGAGAAAGAGAGAAAAAAGGAGGAAGCATCCACCATGGAGAATGGCCACACCACAGTCCATTCTCTTTCACTTCTCCTTTTGGGATTTTAGGCACACACACACACACACACACACACACACACACGTGCATGAGGCATGTTCCTCAAGCTGCCTGCTGGGTCTAGGACTTGAACTTCATAGTCAGCCATGTAGGCCCAGCTGCCTTAACTACCAGGCTATGGCTAGACCACAAATGATAGTATTTTATTTATTTATTTATATTTTACATATTATTATTATTATTGTTTTTTTGGAGAGGTTTTTGCTATAGGATACGTGTGCTCGCCAGAAAGAGAGAGATGGAGAGACAGAAAGTGAAAAATCACCCCCCCCAGGGGGGATGGCCACGCCACAATCCTGGTTCCTCCATTCTCCTTTCGGAATCTTGGGCACGCATGCACACACGCCCAGCATGAGTTTAAGCCACGAGGTCCGGTACTCAAACTGCAGTTGACTACATGGGAGTTCAGCGACATAGCCATTACGCTAACTGCTGGTCCCTTATTTATTTATTTATTTAGGAGAGTTTTTTTGCTATAGGGCGCCTGTGTTCACCAGACAGACAGAGAGAGACGGAGAGACAGAAAATGAGAAATCACCCCCCAGGGAGGATGGCCACGCTGCAATCCCTTCTCCTCCATTCTCCTCTCGGGATCCTGGGAACACATGCACACGTGCCTGGCGTGAGTTTAAGCCACCGGGTCTGGGACTCAAACTGTGGTTGACTACGTGGGAGTCCAGCGACATAGCCATTATGCTAATTGCTGGTCCCTTATTTATTTTTTAAAGAATTATTTTATTTGCTTTATTTTTATTTTTGACCAGGGAGAGAGAGAAGAAGGAAGGGAGGGAGAGGGAGAAGAAGGGGGGGAGAGAGAGAGACAGAGACAGAGAGACAGAGAGACAGAGCAAGCAAGCAGCCAGGTCCAGGACTCGAACTGTGGTCAGCCATGTGTGAGTCTAGCACCCTTAACTACCACACCACCTGCTGGCCCCAGTGATAGCATTTAGCTTCAGTAAAAAGCAATAAATAAGCCCTTATTGCTTGTCTTAGCTGGTTCTGGTGGCTTTAACAAAATACTATCGATTGAGTGGATTGAACAACAGAAATTAATTTTCTCACAGTTCCGGGGGTTAGAAGTCCAAGGTCAAGTTCCCATCTGATTCTGCTTCTGGCGAGGTCTCTCTTCCCGGCTTGTGGATGGCTTTTTGCTTTGTCCCCACATGACCCTTCCTCGGTGTGTCTTTGTGTAGAGAGTTAAGCAAGCTCTCCGATGCCTCATCTTACAAGGATGCCAGTCCTAGAGGATCAGGGCCCATCCTTATTACCTCATCTAACCTAATTACTTTTTAGAGGCCTGATCTCCAAACATAGGCACACTGAGGGTTAGGGCTTCAGCATAGGAATTTGGGGGTGACACTAACATTCCGAGTGTGAAACTGCCTACATCAGGTAATCAAGTAGGTTATCATGTTTGCGGCTGAACAACCCGAATCCTATTGCAGGACGGTTGATAAAAAACTGAAAAAAGGCAGTGGATATAAAATGACTGGAATGAAAGTAACTGTGTCCTAGGTCACTTTTACCCTTTTCAATTTGTGCCTGGTTTTCAAAAAGATATTGTGCAAATCAGCTCTCTGGCAGAGAAGATGAGATATTTTGCAATGCCTGACAGCCTCATAAAAAACTTCTATTACTCTTCACTTCTAGAAGACCTTAGTTTTTCTCTGTCACTCACCTTTCCCTCACTTAGTACATCTGACTACCTCCCCCTCCCCGCTTTCTAAATCATAAAAGAAAACTTTATATGATACGATTGTTGCGAAGTTTTTTTTTTTTTTTTTTTAACTTTTTTGCCACAGTATGGTCCAGAACTAAGCAGATGTGTGTGAATCTGGTAATTCTACTGAAATATTACTATACTATGACTGGTCTCATCATCAAAAATACTTAAGTGTGTATGTGATTACTGTGGAGAGTCTCTGTCATTGAGTCTTTTGGTTCTTTTTCTTTTGGAGAGGTTTTTGCCACAGGGCGTGTGCGCTCACCAGACAGAGAGACAGAGGGACAGAAAGCGAGAAATCACCCCCAGGCGGGATGGCCACACCGCAATCCCTTCTCCTCCATTCTCCTCTTGGGATCTTGGGCATGCACGCACATGCACCTGGCGGGAGGTTTAAGCCACCAGGTCCGGGACGTGAACAGCGGTCAACTACATGGGAGTCCAGCGACATAGCCATTACGCTAACTGCTAGTCCCAGTCTTTTGGTTCTTTATTTTATTTTTTATTGTAATTTCTGGTTTACATATAACCACTATACATCTTTTTTTTTTTTTTTTCCAGAGGTTTTTGCTATAGGGCGCTTGTACTCGCCAGAAAAACAGAGTCAGAGAGACAGAAAGCGAGAAATCAACCCCTGGGGGAATGGCCACACCACAATCCTTTCTCCTCCATTCTTCTCTCGGGATCTTGAGCACTCACACATGAGCCCGGCGTGCGTTTAAGACACCAGATCCGGGACTCGAACTATGGTTGACTACATGGGAGTCCAGCGACAAAGCCTTTACACCAACTGCTGGTCCTAGGCTATAATACTTACCCAGCCTAGCTCTAGTTTAGGTGTTGCTAGAAGGTATTTAGTAGAGGTGATTAACATCTGTTGTCAGAGGTCTTTATTTTTAGTTGTATTTTTTTTCTATTTTGTCAGAAAGCACATTTTCTTTCTAGAGAGAGTCAGAGGAGGGGAACAAGGTACTTTCCTAGTGGAACGTGGTCACTCTGCAATCATTCTCCTTAATTTCTCCACCCTTTCGGGATTGGGCATGCATGCATACATGTCCCGGAAACAGAATGAGAACTATGTAGCCAGCCACATGGGATCCAGCTACCTTAACCACTAGGTCATGGGTGTGGCCCGGAACCTTAAATAAAGGAGATTTCCTAACTAATCTGGATAGATCTAATCCGTTGAAAGGACTTACAAGCAAAACTGAACTTTCCACAAAGGCTGAGTTTCTGGCCAGCCAGCCAGCCCTGTGAATTTAGGGCTTGCTCACCCAGTCCTCACTCTGCATAAACTAAGTCTTTGCAATACATCTCAAC